GTAACCGCGAGATAAATGTGGGTCATGCTTATCATGATAGCCATAACCACTGCCTTCTGTTGGGGTGCTACCAGGCTGGACTGGCTGAGCTGCTGCGCTGTTGGACTGAGGGGTCTGGTCCAGTGGGTTATGCTGATAAAGAACCTCGACACTAAGCTTCAGACCCATGGAGCAGTGGTGAGGCCTGCCACAGACGAAGTACCTCCAACCAGGCTGGCTGAGCAGGATCACAGTCTGCCCGTTGCCATCATCATAGGGCTGGTGATGCGACATGCAGCAAAATCGGATTTAGTAACTTCAATCACGTCATGATCTGGGGTGTAGTTGAACACTGCAATGGTCACATGTAGCGCAACCATACGTTATTAAATCAAAATTCATGGCTCTAAAAATCCGCTATGAATCAGATACAATTAAGCTTGTTACTCTACAAGGTTAATCATAATCTTATTCATTACTTAAACCAATTTACAAACAACATTTTCCATAAACAATCCATTAAATCAGCGAGTAAAGTATCCGATTAATAACAGTGAATTTGTCACAAAATCACAGCATCAACCAAAAAAGTTGGACCACAAATAACAGAATCAACCAAAAAAGTTGGACCAAATTTCAAAATAACAGAATCAACCAAAAAAATTAGACCAATTTCAAAATAACAGAATCAACCAAAAAAAATTAGACCAAATTTATAATAAATTCATCAATTACTTAAACCAATTCATAAAATAACAATCCATAATAGTGAACAATCTGAACATGATCAAGCAACCGCATAATCACTAGTATAGCTGTAAATATACGATAATTAAGCCAAATTTAAATAGAAAGGAAAGAAAAAAAAAGGAAAAAAAAAAAACTAAAAATTCAAGAAGATAAACCAGAGGAAATGATTACAACCAAAAATTATAATATAGAAATCATCAAAGAATTTAATGGAAGCTTGAATTAGAAGAAGAGAGAGATACCGAGGGAGTCGTTAACAACGAAAGAGGTAGAAGAAGACCAGAGCGAGATATTGGAGGAGAGATCCCAGCCAGAAGAATCACCAACTGTATGATTAACAGCAGCCGACGCACACCGAAACATAATCGCCGACATTATCAGAATCACCATTATCGCCTTCACAGTTGATGTTGAACTCATCATTTTTTCCATTTTTGCATTTCTTGAAGAAATTTCCTGCAAAAACAAACAATAATTTGATGAAATCAACCAGATTATTATCAAAATTGAAAGAAATTGCAACAATCGAACTGGAAAGTGAGGAGTGATAATCAATTGAAATAAAAAAAAAAAAAACAGAAATTAAACTAAGAATGTCATCAAAATTACATGAAATTGAGTTGATCGTACCAGCAAGCACTCATCAAAATTAATTTGTAATCAAAGATTTTTAGAGAAATTTTACCTTAATCAGTTGTTTAGAGGAGTTTTTCTAGAGAGAGAAAGAGGAAGTTTGTAGAGAGAGAAAGAGAAGATAATGGATTCAGGAAGAAGAAGAGCAAATGAGAGCAGAAATGCCAGAAATTTATAGTAGAGCTGTAGTAGCTCTGTTTCCCGCCTCTTTGAATTTTGTTGTGTGAGCGTTGCGTCCAATCGTGATGAGCCACCTGTACCATAGTTTGTTATTTTCAACAAACAATATTCTTCTATCTTGCTTCTACAGTACTATATCACTATTCACTAATCCGAGAGATTATTATATATACTCGGGTATATCGTACATCCATGAATATTTTGTTTTTGATGATTGTTTTTCATTTAATTAAATGAAGAGCAAAAACTAACCTCGGGTTAGTTGGGTGTACGATGCACCCGGGTGTATATAACAAATTCTACACTAATCTAGGTTGTGCACCGGGCCGGGACCTGAAACTTGAAAATTCAAGGTTGGAGACCTAATTTGGACCGGTTATTTTTTATTTTTATTTTTATTATTGAAGAAGAAGAAGGATGGACCAGTTATCTATACCAGCGCATCGCAGTGCCTAACTGTGATGGAAATGATTGGACCATCACAGGGGCAGGATGATAATTTCGCCAGTTTTGAGATTTTGAAATAAAAGCTCAGCATATGCTAACGTGTCAAACTCGTTTTGCCAACTCACATCCCGTTACTTATGTGGCGGGACTAAATCCTAGTCAGATAATTATGCTGCTTTACACTTAGTTCAATTTCCCCAATTCAACACTCCAGGTGATTTTAGGGTTCGACATTTTCCCCATATCATTCCTTTGTTGCTCAATCACTCGTTGTTCTTCTTCGCAATTAGGGTTGTTTGCGGAAAAGGAAGTAATCCTTCTTCCAAGCTCAAATTAGTTGAATTAGGGCTTTTCTTTGCAAAAGGAATCAAGGTGTTCGCAGAGAAATTCGCAAAGGATTCAGGTATTCTAAGTTTCAATTTGAATGAATGGTTTGATTTAGCATTTGATTTCTATTTAACTAATATAGCGTGTGGTTTCTATTTAACTAATATAGCCTAATTGAAATTGCTTGCTCGATCTCGCAGCTCTACCACACGCAAATATTCAATCAATCTAGGACAAACCAATTACCTTTTTTTTTTTTAACACTTTTCCAATCTTCAATTCATAGTGTCGTCAACAATGGTGAAAAAATCTTTGAAAAAATGTAACAAAGGAGTGTAAAAATGGAGTCTACATCTTTCTCTCTCTATGATAATGAAGAAATTGGTAAAGCAAGTGAAGTTACCAACTCAGCCATTGACATGGAATCTATGTGGCCAGCAAGGATGCACGGACACGCCAAAAATCTGAAGAGTCCGAGTCGACACGCGTGTCGGACACGGACACGGATGAGACACGGGGCGACACGTGTCCGACACGCAGAAAACCGTGTCCGATTTTTTTTAACCGTTTTTGATTTTTGGACACGGGCCGTGTCTTGGGCTGACACGGGCCGTTTTGGTATGGACACGCGAAATACCTAGATTCCTATGCTTTGCCTCTCTACCTCTTTCCAAGTTTCCAGTTCTCAAACTCTCAACCCTCTCATCCTCTCAAGTCTCAACTAAACCCCTTGCTGCTCACTTGCTCAGTCGCCGACTTGTAGGCCTCACCGTACCGCCGGCTTGCTGTCTCCGTCACCGCCACTCGCCTCCTTGCCGGTTGTCAGGGTTGCTGGCCTGACCCTTGCTGCTCGTGGCCTTCATCTCTCATTGTTGCGGGGGTTGCTGGAGTTGCTGGCCTGGCCCTTGCTGTTCGCCTGCTCGTCCTCAGCCACCACCTATCACTCCACCGCCCACCTTGTCGCTCGTCGTCCGTGTCAGCCACCAGGTATGGTTCTTCTCTACTTTTTTTTTTAAATTCAATTAAAGTTCTGAATATGCATCCTTGGATGTCGAGAAGTGAGAGAATGTCGGTGAGAATGGAGTCTGGGAGAGAACTTAATCGGTCTTCATTTTCTGAGTCTCCGCCATTGTTGTCTTTAATGGAGCTCAATTTCAGCCTTTTCGTGCTTATTTCTTGGTGTTCTGCCATTCAACAATTGAGCTCCATTGTTATCTTTACTGGAGCTCAATTTCTGCCATTCAACAATTGCTGTGATTCTGAAGTGAATTCGAGTAATGCTAATTTGGGGAATTTTTTAGGGTTTTAATCAGTGTAAGTGTGTAAGAACTTCTGATTTTCTGAAATTCAATTGCTTCAATAATTCAATTTGTTGTTCGTCGTCAGCCAGACAACCACCGCCCACCACCGTGTTTTGACAGTTTTGTTGATTACTTGATGAGATGTTTGATTTTGTGTTATGTTTCTAGTTTTGTTTACTTGAAGAGTACTATTAAGACATGTCTGGTTTGATGGTTTCTTGATATGTATCCGACTATGTCCGTACACTTTGTTCATTTACTTGTTTAATTAAAATTGTGTGTTTTGAGGCTAATTATTTAGTGTTTTATTGAATTAGTTGTCAAATTCTCGTTTTTTTAATATATTATATGCCTTGTTATACGCCGTACTCGTGTCCCCTATTTTAGGATTGCCGTTTTCCCGTGTCCGTATCGTGTCCGTGTCCGTGTCCGTATCCGTTTCCGTGCATCCTAGGTGGCCAGTAGCCGCTACAACATTTACTATTCCGTTCTTGACTTCCCTCCCGTTTTCCCAAAATTTGGCTTTTCCCGCCAAAATGCATTTGTTGTGCTCTTCATATTTGCATCACAATTATGCAAATATACTTCCTCTTATCTATACTTCATGTTTTTGCTGAAACTTTTATCTTTATTTATATTTTATTTTTTACAAGAAAATTTTATCTTTATTTATATGCATTTATTTACTGTAGTTTTTACATCTTCATATTTTAGGCATATTTCTTCATGTTTTTGCTTGTGTGCTTGCAAGTTTTGTTCCCAGTTCATCTTTGCATTTGGGAGAGGTCCGACTGCGGCGAGTGTAGGACCACCTAAGAGCAAGAAATCGAGAATTTGTATCATCTTATAATAGAAGATATCTTGCAGATGAATTCAAAAGGTATAATTTGTTTCTTCTTAGCACTCTTAAATTGGGAGAAATAATTATGATGAAAAGGAAAATGAACAAAATTGGCCAAATTATCAAATCACATTCAAATTAAAAAAAAAAAAAAGGCTACTTAGGCCCTATTTTTTTCACCTTATTTTTTGGTAAATAGAAATAAATTTTTTTAAACTGAAATGGTTTTGCTAAACTTTATATTTATTGATTAAAACTTATTTTTAACTGATTCTAATAAATTTAATTGAACTGAAATAATTTTGTTAAACTTAAATTATTTGGACTGATTCTCAATTATATTAATCTAAATGAAATGACTTATATAATATATTTTTTTTTCAAAATTTGAATTTGTTTTTTATTTTATTTTATTTTTATTTTATTTTTTTTGTTATTATTCATTAACTTTTTTTTTATAATGTTATTTTTTAAAGGAAAAATAAAAAGTTTTTAGCGAGAAAATTTTTGATGTGAATGCAACACGTGTACTTTTGGGATAACTCTGATGATTACTTTAGTATATAATATCATACAGATTTTGAAAACAAACATAAATCTATATAGTTAGACTTTTATATAAATATAGCTCAAGTCCATTGCAAAATTGCAACACATTTTTTGCTAAATTTTATAACGAATTACAGCAAAAACAATGCACTATTCAAAAACATGGTTAATGTAACTAAAATGCCTAAGTTACAAACACTAATAGGTTGGAAAATAAATGATTAGCTCGCTGCTCATATACAATGGTCCAGTAATCCTAGAACCAACTGGTTTTTTTCATCCACACAGCAGACAACCATGCAGACTGCAAGAAAGAGATCAGCAATCAGCAATGCACCTTGTAAACTTCAAGATATGTCAGCAATTTCAATGAATGAACTCATGTTCTAACTCGCACCAAAAGAAAAGGAAAAAAAATATCAACCAAAAAAACAGAGACAAATATACAATAGCAACCAAAAACCAAAAAAAAAATAAAAAAAAAGAGAATCAGTTTAATAAGGAATGTCGAGCTATCTCGAAGGAGAACAATGCATTAGAATGGGAGCTGCAGAGATAAGCCCATGGCTAGACAATATACACTCCACACAAACAGCACAATATCATGGTCCATTTCATCTACTAAGATGCAAGGGAATAATAGTTAATAATGCACCTCCTCTGAATCTGATGCCTAAGAGAATAGAGCAGTCAGCCAGCCTACGCATATATAAAAACTTTATCATGAGCACTTAATCATCAAACAATTTACACTTATTTTGAGGTGGTAGTTGTCAGTTTGTCACCATAAAAGGTGTATTTCATCATAAACATTTGCTGCAGAAAACTATCTAGGTGAGAATGAATACGGATATATGACTTTAAAAGTTCATGAATTATTCACTCAAGCAATCCCAGGTCCAAATGATTTTCCAACAATATCATTAAGAAAGTACTTATTCCAATTGCACGTTATTGTTTCTATCCCAAATAGAGGCTGAATGGTTACATCATAGGTGGAACATACTAAGGCTAAAATTTGCACCAAATAACATACTATGACTTAAGTTGATACATCTTCCAGTGATGGTAATATTGGCTCTATTTTGCAGAACGAGCAAGGATGCAAGCTCAAAGTTGAAGCTATAGACTAAAAACTGATAAGCTAACACAATGTGTTCTATATGTAAAATTAACTGTTGAATTAGGTAGTAGATACAAACAGTACAACAGCATCAAAACTGCCCTTATTTTCTTTTAAAATATATACGGTAAAAAACAACCAGTTTCGACTATTGAGAAAATGAAAAATAAAAAACAAACATGTTTCAGCTAGTGGTAAACATACTGTGAGGTCTACGGTTACTTACTCTGCTCTATTTCAGCTAACTCATTCATTAAGCCCTTGCCAGATGAACTCTTGGTTTGAATAGACATATTAGCACCAATTAATATCTAATTTCTCTTTCTCATCCTCTCCAAAATTCTTTGCAAAGCAAAAAATGCTACCATTTCATACGATTCTCTCTAAGATACACCAAAATTCATAAAATTGAATATATGAGATAGCAATTAAAGACCAAATAAAGCAGCAAACATGATCCAGTGAAGAACACGAGGAAAATATGGTGACAGTGTAAGGGAAAAAAAGAGTGCAAAGTAGTTTATGATTACCCATGTTTCAGCTAGTGGTTAACACATAACATACTGTGAAGTTGAGAGCTAACTTATTTTGCTCAGTTTCAGCAAACTCTTTCATTAAGCCCTTTGCCAAATGCAATCTTGATCCAAACAGACATTTTGCTGAAATACACCTAGATAGTTTTCACTAATACAAGAACTAATATGTGGCATACATGCTGCTAGGTATAAATTACAACTAAATGGAAAAGTAACTTCCACGTTACAAACAGGCCCTAGACATATGACAACTTTTAGGCAGAGGATTTGAGTCAAAATGTTGCTTTGAGTTTGGGCGATCCTCTGACTACTCGAACAAACCTCCAACTGGCGAATTTCCACAAAGCTCATAAGTAACACCGATGACTTCACTTTGATTTTGCTAAGAAGTTAGAACCGTTCTCCACACATTTTCGAACCTAACAGCACTTGTGGTGGAGTGCCGAATGTTTTATAAACGATCATAAAGTAAGATTATTACCCTGTACATACCCACGGTTTCCTCCTTATTTTCTTTATCTGTTGCTTTCCTCTTCATAACTGGGAGTAGAATATGATTCCATACATAGTCTTATTATACATAAAGATGCTTAAAGTTTGTGCAAACTGCAGGCTCCTGGCTGTAAATCTCTTTACTACTCCATCCACTTTCCTAAGTATACGGCATGTAGACAAAGGCAGTTTGATAGCAAATTGCATATCATACTAAATTTAATATCCGTGTATTAGGTATTCTGAGAATTAAGCTCAAAAAATTTGCACAGTTGTGGAATTTATGGTTTTAACAATGTGACATGTAGAATGGTATTATCATCCAAATGTCCAGAATGTAAACATGCCTATAAGTATCACTATACACATTGTGTATTGCTCGGCTTGTTAAAACCCATTTCTCTCACTTCACATGGCTGATAACCCATACCTTTAAAGCCAATAAGGACTCACAAAATTGTTAAACTAAATCAGTATGCATCAATTGCAACCATTAACACAAAAACTGCTACAAAGTAAACATGGAAACGCAAGACAGTTACAAAGATTGCCACCGCAACTAAAATCCAAGTTGTTTATGGCATTAACTAAATCAACAGCTCACCATCCAACATCTGAAATAGTCAGGAAAGCTCACGTTATGGACAAAGAACATAGAGCAGCTTACCTCTTGATCCTCATTATGTAGAACCTTGATACTGATTAATAGTCTCCTCCATCTTATCAAGCTGAGAAAGAACATACTCCAGCTTCTTGCAAGATACCTCACTCGATAATCTTGCACTGTAATCACACTTCTCAAATGGTCGATACTCACATGCACTCTTAATCTCTTCTCGCAATGTCACTTGGATATCCTACATTCAACCAAAAGCAAAGGAATGCATTTGAATTCTCGAGATTAGCACCACAGAAGACACAAACATACTAAACCATTATAATACACAAGGAGAACTCTTAACAAGTGGTAGCAAATATCGCACCCTATTTAATTAGGCCCTTTATAAAATACACGTTCTCGTATTTACTCAATGCCATACATGTTACCTTCCCCTTCATTAGAATCAGATTCAAGAACACAATGCAAAATGCCATAATTATAACATCCAGAAAATGCCATACTATATAAGTACATGATCAAAATCGGGGAAAAAAAAAAAAAAAAACCAATTTAAATCAATTTATTTTTAGTACGAACCCTTGTTCATGATCAAAATTAACACCAAAATTAGCATAAAATTCGACTATTAATCAAACCATTTTTGGGTATTTAAGTCATTATCCAAAATAAATAAAAAATTATAAATTGAGACCTTGATTAGTTGCATAAATTCGCCACAATGGTTGTTGAGCGAATTCTTGCGAGGGCCAGATGGATTTGCAAGTTCATCCATGACTCCACCTGCTAATTCCAAAACCCTAACTACTCTCTGCATTTGAAATTTAGAAAACTTAAGATGAATTGATTTTGATAAATTAAAACAATCAGGGCATTAAATGTCACCTTCTCAACATTTTGAAGGCGTTGAAGTGAAGTGTTCTGACTCTGAGGCGAATCCACGTTCATGGCGCTTCTTTCTCTCTGGTTTTTGGGAGGAGTGACAACTTTTGTAGGGAAAAAAAAAGGTTGGATATATATTTAATTTCTTTGGGCTCAAATAGACGTGGGTCTAAAAGGAAATGTGAAGGCAATTTGGGTTGAACCAACTTTAAAGATATCCTTTCAAAAAAAAAAAAAAAAAAAAAAAAATAACAACTTTATAACATTTGATCATTTGTTCAACTCTTTGCAAACTTTTTAGTTTTACACAGTGCAATTGAGTTTACTTATTTAGGAGTTATTTGGTTGATCAAGGATTATTCAGTTTTGGGTTAATTGGTCGGTCAAGGGTTATTCAATCGGTCAGTGTTTTTATATATGTCAGCCGGCCATACGATGTGGGGGGCCACACAGAAAAAGCGCTGTTATTTTTATTTATTTTTTGTTTTACAACCATCCTTATGTAATTTAAATACTCAATGGCATTGCTTTTGAAGAGTTTTGTTGTTTGTCATCACAAGAACTAGCATAACACTTGATGGAAGGACGGAATAGTTTTGTTGTTACTAATGAAGCATACTCGTAAAGGATTAAACAAAGAACAACAATAAAGGTAACAAAGCTGTTACAACAATCGATAAAGCCTGCAAACTGAGAATGACGCTACAATATTTGAGGAACATCTGCTAGATTAAAGCTTAGGGTACAAAAATCAAATGACTTGAAAAATGACCTTCAACGTGAAGAATGGCATAGAGTTTTGGACCGTGTATTTTGAACTAACGGGTTAAGTTGAACAAACATCAACTTAACTTGGTAAGCTTGTACTCCCTTTATTCCTTAGATTGTCTCATCGTTTACATTTCACTTTATCATAAGTTATATTTATAAAATGTTTGTTAGAAAAGACATAGAGTGATTGTGCGGAACATAGTGATCATCCGATCATATTAACAACAACAAAATGATGCAATTCAATGGGACAAAACCCGGGAAAAAAATTGTGGAAAATCTAATGGATAAGGTGGTAGCTTAGTATAAATCAATGAGAACTTTTCTACGCTAGAGTGTTAAATTGTTTAGGCCTTGTTTTCTTCCCCTTAAAAATATAATTTTTAGTGGCCAAATTAGCAATTTCTTATAAAAAAAATACCAAAGCTACAAAAACACTAAAAAAAAAACGCATATTAGTAATCAAAATAGATCCGTAAAGCCAAAAATACTCCTAAATATGACCAAGGGACGAGGGTAAATCACTAGATAAAATAGACATATTATCGACTCTATTTGGGGGTTTTTTTATGTGTCCTACGGGAGAGTTACAATTTCCTAGTATGCTCCTTCCTTCACATGTACCTGCACAAATAACAGAAACTCCGGCTGGGGGGTGGGAGTTCCGCCTCCGAAGATTAAGTTAGAATCTTTCTGAAGAGGAAATAAGAACAGTAAATGCTTCTCGATTGGAGAGCGTTTGCAATGGGTTTTGTGTTTGGTTGGTTGTTGGAATTTTTTGTCGATCCCCATAAATGAGGTCTACCCCTGATATTTATAGTAGGGGAGGAATGTACCTCAATTAGGGTACAAGGACACGTGTCACAGAGGGATTGAGCCTCTGTTTGCCCAGTAAGGGGTGGACACGTGTCACAGGCTGATTAGCCTGTTTACTAACCGTTGATATGTTGACACGTGGCAAGCTTTTACTGGGCCACGTGTCTAGGGTAATTTTTACCTAAACATCTGCCCCTTACAGGTGTGACGTGGCATGTCCACGTGTCACCTGTGATAGGTGTCAGACGCCTGGGAGGAGACGGTTCGTCTCTTTCCCTCCCATTTTTGATTTTTCAAATTGCTAGGGCAGAAGGAACCGTTTCGCCTTCTGCCCCTCTCCTATAAATAGGAGGCATGCCCTCTCTCCTCCACACTTTACATAATTTTCAAAAAATTTATGAGAGTGCTCCGATACCGGCTGCTAATTTCCTTCAAGTTTTCTTGCATCCGGCGTTTTGAGATCAAGTACATCCGGCTACCGGTTGAGTAGTTTTTCTGCAATTTCTCTAAGGTACCGAATCCCTTTCTTCCTTCACTTTTACTTCTTTCTTTTTGAGGACTCTTGAATGTTTCCCCATCTGGGTGGTAAGCCGCCTGGGGGGTCTTTGACCTATTTCCAAGTTTAGAATAGAACACCCTTTTAAACAACATGGCTTTCAAAGCACCCCCATCCGGTGGAACACCGCCTGGGGTACTTCTGAGTTTTTACCAAGAAATGATTTCCAACCCCCAACCGGTTTAATGCCGGTTGGGTCATCATTCTGGTTTTTTCATGACCTTAGTTTCAAATTTTTATTTGCGTTCAATGCACCCCCATCCGGTGACTCACCGTTTGGGTCTTGCTTTGAACATGCTTCTTTGAAACAGGTCTTACTATACCCTCATCCGGTATTTTACCGTTTGGGAGGTGACCTTAACATTTCTTGCAGCACCTACATCCGGTATCTATACCGGATGTTTTTTTTTTTTTTTTTTTACAAGTGTTTCCCATAGCTCCCATCCGGTCTAACACCGTCTGGGGTATCATGGAGTGAGCCTTACGAATCATTTAGCTATTTTTACAAATGCTTGTCACCACCCCCCCATCCGATCTTACACCGTCTGGGGTACCTCTGACCCAGCTCACCGAATACCGTCTGGGGTATCTTTGAGTGAACCATATAATTTCATATAGCTAGTTCTAAACAACCACAGGCGGTAAATGTCGTTTGTGGTGTTTTTGGATGAGCTAATGACAAACAGGCTAACCTGTATTTTGTCTTTTTTCAGCTTTTAAACAAATTCGTGGAGTTCTCCGCCTGAGGTGACTTCAAGCCAACTCACATCAACCTTCTCATCTCAAAGGTACCGTCTGTACCCTTTACATTCCTCTCTTTTATTTCCGGTTGCATAGTATTAGGATATGGACTTCACCAATATAGACACGGCACAGACTACGACAGTGGTCAGCCGGTCACCAGGGACGGCTGAGTCTAGCATTGGGACTTCCATCTGGGGGTGCTTGGGACAACCTTCACCTACTTCGAATCCGTCCGTTTCTGTTCATGTGCAGGACAGAATGGCCCGGACTAGATGGACGGCAGTAGATCCTGATTACAAGTCCGATGATGCAGCCGTTGATCCGGCTGTCCTTTTAAATGAAGAGCAGACGGCGGAACCGTCTGAGAGAGTTCCAAATGAGGATACTCCGCAAGATTCCCCGGGTGTACCCAGCACACCGGGTGATAGCATTTTGGGTAGTTCTGGCTCTAATGCCGAAGAGTCCGGTGAGGGATCCGGTGAGGGATCGGATGATGAAGAGTCCGGCTCTGATGAAGAGTCTTGGCTGCCCCTATAGACGAGGAAGCCTATAAATGGTCGGCTAAGGGGGATCCAACCGATATGACTATGTCCGCCAGGGATGTGGTCACTTTAAACGCCACACTCCCTGCTTTCTTAGAGAAGAAGTCGGTTGGGGAGAAATGGGAAGTGGTTGTCCCGCCTGTAGAGGCAAGCATCGTTTGGACCGACGACGTGGACAATGCCGACAACTACTTCGGCTGCTACGAGGCGGCATTCACAGCCGGCCTCCGGTTCCCCCTCCATCACTGCATAAAAGCCATACTAAGGGGGTATGACTTGGGTGTATGGCAGTTGACCCCCAATTCATGGGTCAACATTCTTGGATATATTGCCGCCTGCGAGTTGCAGGATGTTAGGCCAAGCTGGGAAGCTTTTGCGCACATGCACTATCTTAGCAGAGCGCCGGGTGGGTGGAACGCGTGGTATACTTTAACTACGCTCCCGGAATATATAATGATTGGACAAGCCGTCCAAATGGAGTAACTGGAAGAGCAAGTTTTATGTCGTCTCTTCCCCATCCCCCCAACTTAATCACCGGCTGCGTAGATACAATAAGCATCCGGCTTTGCTGGGTAGGAAATGTGCTCTCCCAAAAGTGCCGGCTAAGGCTTGGGACCAGATAATGGAAAAAGGCCTCTTTCTCAAGACAACAACCCGGCTGGATGATGGGAGTGAAATTATAGTCCCCCAATTCTGGGTTCCCCATCCGGATTGGTTTAAGGACGAGTGCTTCTTGTCTCTTTGTAATCTTAGCACTATGTTTACTAAGGGTAGGTTGCCGCATGATCGAATATTTACCGGATGCATATGTTTATCAGATTTTTAACCCTGTATTTTTCCTCTTTGCAGAAGTAGCTAAAGGGATGGTGCCTCCGGAGAAGACACCTACTACATTTGCCCTTCTTCTAAGGAAGAAGCAGATTGAAGAAAAGAAGGCGGCACTGGCCGCCAAGAATGCCGGGGTAGTCTGCCTTTCCTTAGCCATTTTTCTTTGCATTGTTATTCTTTCTTTGCTGGATGTATTATACTTGTTAAATGATTTTTAACCGGATGTATTATACTTGATTGCTTTTAGGCTGGGAGCCAAGTCATGCCTCGCTCTTTAGCGAGTATGCACAAAAGACCGGCTGGAAACATTCCTCAGCCGGCTTCTAAGGCACCAAAAGTGGCTGCCCCGGCTGCTTCTGGTTCAAAGAAAAAGCCTGACAAGGACAGGCCTACTACAGCAGGGAAGAGCCTACAATCCATTCCCCACTTCGAAATGGTGGTGGAATAAATAAGGTTGGTTGTTCGTACTCAGACGGGTACAGACTCAAATGCGGCTGGGGGGGCTCTGACCCCACAGTCCGAAAAAGGTAAAACCTCTGCCTTTGATCCCCCCTGGCCGCTTGGGCATATGAGAGTCAAAACCCAAGCAAGCCAATCCGGGGATTCGTCTGGATGCCGCCTAAGTATACGCGGAGCGTATGCCCAGCATCTTACAGATGATTCTATGATTGTAGATATCTCCTCTAGCCGTCCCAATTATCAACAATATGCTAAGAGGATGGTCCGGGCTCTTACCCAGTCTGAAAAAGAGGTTGTGCTGGCTATGCACACGGTCAATCTTGACCGAATCACTTCTTTCCTTGCTGAGGTAATTAAACCGGATGACCTATGCTTGAGCAATGATCTTTATTTACCGGATTTAAATTTTTTGTCTTGATTTTTCTAACATTCTTCCCGGTTG